ATTGTTACAACAACGCGGAAGAATCATCTCCTCAGTATAACTGCATGCATGACTGATAACAATTTTACAGCATTCGTTGTAAGTTGGTAGTAAGTAAATTATGGTAAGTTGTAGTAATATCGATAAGTGCTCGTCATGTTTTTGTTAGAGTTTATAACATTTACAACTGGAGAGCCATGAAGAAGGGTGTCAACATATATATTGCAACATAATTGTTCCAGAGTGGGAGCGATTACTATGATTTCACATATGCCCAATAACATGTGATAACACGTAGTGTAAGAAAACAATGTATAAGTATGCAAAGAAAGTTTGTGGAGATAATTCATTGAACGATTTATTATTCAATTAATCCTTTTGCAATATCAATAATCTTACAACACCTCGTTAGGCTCCCACGAAATTATACACAGAAGCATAAACATCTTCTGTGAGTCGATAATTAAAACATACTACTGCGTAATTCGACTTGTATTGCAAGTATATCATGGCTTTAACTGCCAGAAGAAATGCTTTCTGTCATCAGTTTGTTTTAGCAATCGCTGCATGACGTTTTAAAGATACGTACAGTAATGCCACATTTTATATGTCAACTGTCACCGTATACAGGTGAACTGAGAGCACTCAAGACTGGTGAAGTTGGGAAATTTTGACACAGAACCATCATTGACAGGTGAGTGAATTTTTATCTGCCTCATATGGGTGTCACGTCCATTCTGATGGTTCGACAGCACAGCAATCTGCACCATGAACGTGCGAATAGGTCTGTCGCTCACATCTGTTAGCGGAATCACAACCCAACCGGTAGGTTCGTTCAAATCGACAATCTCAATTTCTTGCAAGTCATTGAAGTGGTTGCCAATTCTCACTGAAATCCGGCTTGGTGTGTAGCTCTCGTCCGACTTATAGTCAGCGTATATCGCTACATCCTGTATGGTCATCTTGCGACGAAACTGGATATTCACTAAGTGTGGCTGTGGTCCGTCAGACTGCCAGTAAGTGTCCAAATTGTCATCCCGCAGTTGGTCTACGCCGAATCCTGGTTTACAAGATGAGAGCGACCAAACGGCCAGCGATCCCACCTCCCTCACCTTGCCAGTTTTTTCATCCTTTGTCGGGTCGATGTCTACTGCGGGTCTTACAGCCATGTGGGAATAATGGAAGCACTGAGAATCACAGTTATGATTGAAATGGAGTGTGCAGTAAAGGAAGCATCCATCAGCAACTACCTGCCAACAGAAGGATATAGGCATTTATGTGCGTGATAGCACTACGAATATAAGCAAAACAAGCAATTGTAACTTATTTACTGTTGTGTGATTGAAGAAGTGTTACATACTTACACACTCAAAACTAATTATACTAATAGGAAAACTAGAGAACGAGAATTCAGGAAATCTATTTATTTCACTCCACTCTCCAAGAAAGATTTCGTGAGTAGCATGCACCTGAGCACGTGACTCCTAGTGTAGCAAGGGTCAGTCGAATTAGAGATGTAGGAATTATATTTACTGTCACTGTCATATTGTAATGTTGAAAAACTACACGTCTCGTATAAGGCGAACAGCAGGCTGTCACAGGAAAAGGTTCTTTACTTGATGCACAGCATATTTGCAATCGTCAGTCTTACCCTCGAGTCACTCTCCCCCTTCACTCTTCCATACATCTTCCCCATACATCTCCTTTTTCCTTTCACTCTCCCGGCCTTCCCCTTTTATATGCGGCCATGCCCTTTTCGGAGGACACGTGTTTCCCCTCGCAGTCGCAGTCCGGTCCTCTCGCCCATCTTTCCTATTGGTGGGCATTCGAACATTGATCGGCCAAGTGACCACCTCGTCACTCTTGCGTCATTATGGCACGCCTCCAAACTCTAGTCTAAACTCCTCGCCACCCACTGGCTGGCAACGTTCCTGGTTCCTTTATTTCTGTCTGCGTTGCACTATTATGGCTGCCCTCCTTAGTGTGGCTCCAATGACCGTAACTCTGATGGCTCATGGCCAATGACTAATGGCTCACGGCTAATAACTCCAATGGCCATTCTACTACCATTTGTACTAATTAAGTGGTCTTCGAAGAGTTTATGATCCAACCGTCTGAAATTAACTTTATGTCACATAAATTTGCATCGCTACAATATTAATTCTGAAACTTTATAACCGGGTTGGGTTTAACATTTAGTTTTTACATTCAATTTCCTACGAATGCTAGTATCGAAATGCCTGGACGGCAATAAACATTTTACGTTTGTGCTCGCGCTTCGCTACCGCGATACCAACTTATTGTTACAACAACGCGGAAGAATCATCTCCTCAGTATAACTGCATGCATGACTGATAACAATTTTACAGCATTCCCGTGTAAAGGCACGATCTTTTTACTGTGCTGACAGCTAACCACAACAATCACAAATCAGTTTCAATATTCAATGTTCATTCGATCACACGTCGTTCACTCCATACTGATGTCAGCATCTGATTAACATTGTCAGCAAAGATTGGATAAACATTGAAACTGGTTTGTCATTGTTGTGGTTAGCTGTCAGCACATTTACAATACACTTTATATGTTTGGGCCTTGTACATGGTTCATACAGGACTGAAAATTTTTCAATGACCTTTCAAGGACATTTTATCGGACATTTTATCGGAATTCATACACAGAACAAAACATACCTGGATTAATTTAATAACCCCATTTTTAATCACGGTCACCTCTAACAGTCAGCTCACTTACATGGATCACATTAATAAACCCTTCTAAACACTGTCACTTCTGCACGAAGGGTCGTTGTCGTATCAGGTACTACATATATGTACCCGAGGTAGTTTTAAGTTTTAGGTCATATTATGTTTATATTTTTATATGAGGTGTGTTTAGGGTTAGGGTACACTTCTGCAGTACAAGTCTGGTACACTTTGTGTATACATAATTATATGTACCTCGGGTACATATATGTAGTACCTGATACGACAACGACCCCTTCAGCGTCACTTCTACAACATACCTTGATTTACTGACTGATTTTACTGACTTACTGTAATTTGTGATCATCATTTAACTTTCTATCGTGTCTATAGCTTTTTAAGCTCATTTAACGCAATTTTTATGGAGGTTTGCACATTATCGATGGTACAAAATTTCTTTTTATTACAGGCAAGGATTCTTTCTAAAAATTCAAGGACATTTTCATGAAATTCAAGGGCTTTTCAAGCCCAAAATCAACATTTACTAAATTCAAGTACTTTTCAAGGACTCCCCTCAAATTCAAGGACTTTTCAAGGACTGTGCAAACCATGTTGTAATATATGTAATTACCGTTAGTATTAATGTTTCGTTGCGTCCATGCGTCGTCCATCGTCTGAACTGGGCTCGTCCATGTTTGTGGTACGTCGTTGTCATGTAAGCGCGGTTCAGATTGGCAGTGACATCTCTGTCACTGCCAACAGTTGCTCAGCTGATTGTTTAGGTGCACCATTGCTTATAATCACATAAATAGAGTTAGATACAGGGGGGGGGGGGGGGGGATGATGCAGATACAGGTGAGAGAGGGGATGATGCAGATACAGGTGAGAGGGGGGGGGGAGGGAGTTCGATTTCGGAAAAGAGAGAGGAGAACTTGATTTGTGGAATGTTGTTATGTGTCATATAGAACATTAAAGTACATCTAGTTGGTTACAACGAAATTGCTGTTCTTCTAAAATATCACTCTTGTTCGTATTAATTAACACTAAAGCACGCACGGCAGTTGATTACAATTGTAGCCAGGTTAACGCGGTAACGTAAAGCAAACGCCCACACACGCACGCGCGCGCAAACACGCACGCATGAACGCCAGGCCTCAAATTTTTTTTCCGGTGGCTTTTATTCCCAACCCCCCATTAGTACAGCTGCTATCGCCCAAAATTGTTCACTTTTGTGATAAAAGCATGAAACTTTGCACAATTACTTCTAAACATGTAACAAACAATTTGTGATATGGATCCAAGCTAGGTTAAGCTCTGGACTCGAGATCTGCGCATGTCCTAAAATCGCGGACATGGAAACGAGGCTGAAAATTTAATTGCCTAAAAACAGGCCTTAGAGTACAAAAATAAACTTGGAACTGATATATTATGTCTAGAACTGGTATTCTGTGCTAGAAAATGTTGAAGATATGATCACGTGACCTTTCTTTACAGTTTTACGAATTTCGCTTGGGGTACCTGTGGTGGAATGTCAAACATAGATACATGGCACTATGTATTTGCACTAAAATTAGCACTACTGAACGCCCAATTATCTTTTTTATCATTTTAATGATAGAAAAAAGCTTTTCACATGTTTCCAATACATCCTGAATACATCCATACAATCCTGAATTGGCCTAAAGTCTATACATGCTTCATCCTCACATTGCATTTTAGGCTTTCCAGGCTAAGTACCTAAGTGCTTTGAACCACAAATTTTATATAGCTTCCTGATAATTCTTTTCTTTCGCCTTGCTTGAGGGTTTAATCGGGTTCTCTACGTGGCGGTCAATAGTATATACACTTGGCTGTTGAGATAGCTGGTCAAAACTGTTTAACAATTAACGATGCTCTTGGCAATTGAACACAGTCAATTAAACCTTTCTACTTGCTACTCTAGGCATCCCATAGCTAGTTGCAGTTGCCTCTACAGTTGCACAACCCAGTGCAGGTAAGATTAGCTTTCTGGCATTTGCAGCGTCCTCAACAACCAGCTTTGCATCCACATCGAATGAGTTCATAGCAGGAGTCCTTGGCTTGCGAGAGTGTCGTCCAGTAAGGCACCCAGCGACCACTTTCAAGCTGCCATCCTCATCTTGAGGCACTCGGTAACGTGGGCTTCTTTAACAGGGTCTGGCCCCATACATAACCACCTTGGAATGGAAGACAGCTCTCTTGACATGTTGTACTAAGGATGCTTGAGTGGAAGGGATGTTGTCGAGGGATCGCACCTTTCTTGAGAAAAGATCTTGCCTGACTTCGTTGACTTTACTGAGGCTGCTCGTGCGGTCATATATGAGTACCACAAATCGCTCAATGACATCCATGCTGGTATCATCAACATCCTCTGGCAGTATCAGCAGTGCTTTAAGAACAGGGGTGAGCTCTGGGAACACGTTCCATACGTCCCATGCCGTCTTCTTTCCTCTTCCACCGAAATATGAAACCGTATCACACCATATTAATGCATGAAACATCGGTAACACACGCGCTTTCTCTCGACCCAGGGATGTAGCTATGGTATGCGCTGGAAGGTTACGGACTTGCTTGGAAGAACCATATGAGATCCACAGCTCATCTAACGGGAGAACTGGAGCAATGGAAACGGCCAGCACAACAACATCAGTATTGTTACTTCGGATCTTTATTCGTCGATGGCCATGTGCGCTAGAATGGAGTGCATGAATCATCATGCGGGAATCAGCTTCCTCGTGAGTACACGGCGCAAGAGCACTCATATCTGCGCTTCTTCCAGTTGCCTAAGGATGTAAGGCGCAAATATGGAGTTGAAGTACTCGTCAAAGGTGCTAACGGCTTTGGGTTGGAGCATCTGGACCACAACGGCTCCATCTATAATAATTGCATCCACTCTCATCCTGTCGTCTGAAGTCAGAAGTAGTTCCACAACTATTCACAATTGGTGTTCTTGCCCTATATAGAACACATGCTACAAGACGTTGTTTACGTAGATGTTGTCTGGGATGTCTACAGGGAGGACAGCCTAAAGGCACAAAGACGACAGAACCGTAGATCTGGTAATCATCTCCGGGTGGACAATAACACCAAGATTCCTGTTAACTGGAAGAACTTCCTTCGCTGTGATGCAAACAAAGACAGCCTGTTCCAACTTCTAGCCAATGCAATACAAGAGTTTCAACCTCCTCCACAGAAGCTAGTGATCTCCACACATGGCCAGAATGCTGTATCATCTCCCATAGCTTACCTGTCAGATTTGTTCTGCACTCACGAAGAAGCAGACACACGGCTCCTGTTTCATGCTTCCCATTCATTCCATCATGGGTTTACCAAGCTGATGATACATGCATGATACTGATGTGGTGGTTACCGCAATTGCAGTGTCAAGTGTTTTACAGGACTGGGAAATATTGATAGCATTTGGTCATGGTGCTAAACTACGTTACATTCAGTGCCACCTAATTGCAGCTGAATTAGGCAACGATGCATCATGGGTCTTCTATTCTTCACGCAATATCAGGATGTGATACTGTTTCTGCCTTCCATGGAATTGGAAAGAGAACAGCTTGGGCTGTTGGGTGCAGTATGCCTCATCTCAAACCGATATTTGCTCGGTTATCCCATGCTCCAAGCCAGGTATCCCCCAACGACGTGGAGCAAATAGAGAGATATGTTGTTCTCTTGTATCTGCGAACATCAGCACTCAGCCATGTGAATGAAGCCAGGAAGCAGTTGTTCACTCAAAACCGTAAGATGGAAAACATTCCTCCAACGTTGCATGCCCTGGAACAGCATGTGAAAAGGGCTGTTTAGCAGGCAGGGCACATCTGGGGACAGTCACTTATAGGAGACCCTGAAGTTCCATCGCCAGATTTATGGGGCTGGGAGAGAGTGACAGATGATTCCCCATGGACTCTATGCTGGACCACTCTTCCAGAGGCAGCCAAAGCTAGTCATGAACTGTTAAAATGTGGATGCAAAAAGTCTTGTACAAAAAGATGCAAGTGTGTCATAGCAAATCTCGAGTGTACACAGTTGTGCTTCTGTTCAGGACAGTGTAACAGAGAATAAGCAAGCAAATCTGAGCATATGAGATACTGCCATGGATCATTTAATAATACATGACACACCATTGGATTGCTTTTACACGGCATACGCGCGTGCCTTCTATTGCGTGCACTGTGTCTTCATGGAATCTGATGGAAACGACGTTTTGGCGGGCACGCAGGTGTACCTTCCAAAGTGTAACAGAAATTATGAACTGAAGTATAGATGGCATTCTTTTTAAGTTTTCATCATAATTTTTCACGTGTTCTACCGAGTTCTTTGACCTAAAAACATTTTATATTGTATTTGTTTAATTTGAAGATGTATGTTAGGATAATTTCATGTTTCCCATCGGGTTCCTTGACATAAAAAATTAAAAACAGGTATAGATACCTAGATCCTGGTAACCGTGGCACGTATAGCCATTTTATGGCAAAGAAATGCGTTTGTGGCAGCCATTTTGGATTTAATTTTTTTGGCGGGAAGATGTTATGATAGATCACATGTGTTCTATACCCGTTCTATGGGGTGCATTGACCTCAAA